TGCCGGTGCCAGGTTCTGGTAGAGGGAGATATGAGCTTTTTTTTGCAGCTTCTTCATAAGGGCCTCCTTGGTCTGGAAGTGTAAAAAGCAGACTATAATAACTATAATGGTCGCACTATAATGCGGTAATTCTTGACCAGCTAATTTGGGCCGTGTTGGGCGTCGAGGGTATCTCCTCAGCAGCGTTCAGGGTACCATCTTGGATGCCCGCCTGTGCTGAGTGGGAAGCCGCAAACATGTCTGCAACCGTGGCCCCTGAGTCCCTGGTGTGTTGCTTCTTGGACAGTCTCTTGTCCATCCTCTCGCTGGGGTGATTAGTCAGGCTTGGTATTTCACGCTATAATATGCTTATTGCGGTGCTGTTGGAGCAAACCGACACATCCACATCGCTCCTCGGTCAGGCCACGCCCCCCAGCAAACAGATTTTGGCATTTATACCATACCATTGGAATAATATATTCTTTGGAATAATTATCATTTTTAAAGCTTGGCTATTTAACACAAGGTATTTGGCCATTGTTTTTACCAAAGAGATAACAGTAAAATGATGATGGAAAATATTGTAACGGTGAGATTTGGAATGCATCAATTGTTAGAAATTCATCAGGTGTTTAATGTGTTATCAAACAATAGATTGTGATATACCCCAATATTTCCTGCAATCTAGTGCAACCATGAAGTTATCTTCGTATCATGCCACTTTAAGTAATGAACCTTCTCTCAAAACGTTAAACCACAAACCACTGATTAACTGTCACTGATATTCAATTCTTTCTCTGAACACAGTTTATCCACTCAATCATAGTCTCCTGTTTGGACCGCACACAAAGAGTTTTCCAGGTAGAAATTAATTAGCTTGGCTACTCTCCATAAAAAATATAAGTTTGAGGAACCGAGTACTTTTGTTATAAAACTCCACCATACTGAACAACGTAACCAGAAGCCCTGCTACTGAGTAATTTATTCAATATTAAAAAAGGGATTTAGGATAACATGCACTCAGCACAATTAGTAAAAAAAATAAAAAATAATAATATATTGTTGACCCCCTGCTATTGGAACAGAATCTTCTTGCAAGTCGTGCAATAGATGCCTATGGATCTTACAATGTCCTCCAAAGCCCCCATATAGTGCTTTGAAGCCAGGAATACAAGAGCAAGATGGAGCCTAGGCTGGAGACCACATGGACAGAGAAAGGGTTTGGTAATTATTTTACTATCCTCCACCTCTCAGGCACCTTGTAACCAACCATATAATCTAACACATCACATTTGTGTCTTTGCAAAAATGTCAGTACCACTTTAAAGGTGAGTATTTTATTTTATTTATTTTGTCATGTATTTTT